TAACATCCGACTGGTACATAAACAACAAATCGGAGATACAATAGTTGAACACGAAGTATAGTTTACATGAACACCAGTCATGGATTTTCCGGTTTCAATGGTTGGGTTTATTTGCCGTTACGTCCACACTTGCTTCCCTATAACTCTTCGTTGTCTTAGTATAATCGGGTATTTCGTTCTGGACATTGTTGTTTGGAGTTTTTTCTTTAGGTCTCTGAACTAGTCATGGTAAGTATTAACGCTGTTGAAAATGACATAAAATAGAACGTTATTCCTGTATACAATTTATTTCATTGTTACCTTTATTTTAGTTATGGATATCATCATCTTGCTAATATATCAATGTAATTTATTGACAACATCCTAATAATTTCAGGTTTGATTGGACATTTAATTTAGCACAATTGTTCAATCAGTATCCGCTGTTATTATGAAAGGTCATGGTCATCTGACGTAGCAGATGTGACGAACTAAAACTAAACAAGATTGTTGTAAACAAACGAAATGTATTGAAACCACGGGAAGCCATTGCCTAAGATGTAAATTATGATTTTTCTGAATAAACGTTTAACGTAATTGTGACAGTAGTCAATCTGTTTTTGAGATTGTTTTACAGGTTGTGTATTATGGGGCGATGTGAAGCGGCGAATGAAAGGAAAGCACGCGCTACTTAAAATCGATTGTATTGTTTATGGAATACGTTGATTTGACGATAGAAAGGACGAGGTGGGAATTATAAGGATAAAATGATCATGGTTGGGTATTTATCGAAATGTAAATTTTACCTAATCACTCGCAAAGATAGTATAAATTAATTCGGACTTTGTTTACTTTGTGAGTGATTAGGTAAAATTTACACCTCGATACCCAATCATGATCATTTAATCCTATATTACTATTATTCGAGTGCTTTAGAGTAAGGGATATTGTGGTGGCATAAATTGTTCCATTTGCTGGTCCATCCTGATCCGCCTTTATATAGTTATCCCTATCTTCCTAAGTCCCACTGTTGAAATTGACCACATTGTATTAGTTTTTTTTTTCTTGTCCATGAAGTAACCATGTTCAAAAGTGTAACTATTCTTAGCTTCATTCCATGGAATTCTTGAGACATATCACATATTAAATGTATTACATTATTAGTTACTTTATATATATATATATATATATATATATATATATATATATATATATATATATATATATATATATATATATATATATATATATATACTTTCTGGTTTTATTAGTTAATAACTTCTAGTGGTCTGCGTTACATGATAGGCTCCTAACCAATCAAAATATTTCAAAGGCTTGATATAAAGGTGTGCGTGTGTGTGTATGTGTATGTGTGTGTGTGTGTGAGAGAGAGAGAGAGAGAGAGAGAGAGAGAGAGGGAGAGAGAGAGAGAGAGAGAGAGAGAGAGAGAGAGAGAGAGAGAGAGAGAGAGAGAGATGGGGGAGTTTGCTTTCTATTCTCTTTCTTTCTTTCTTTCTTTCTTTCTTTCTTTCTTTCTCTCTCTCTCTCTCTCTCTCTCTCTCTCTCTCTCTCTCTCTCTCTCTCTCTCTCTCTCTCTCTCTCTCTCTCTCTCTCTCTCTCAGAGGCGTAGCTATGATATTTTGCGCCCGGGGACGAACTATAAAATTGGCGCCCCAGCCCCCTCCCCGTTTAATCATAATTTTCTATTTTACTTATTATAATGTAACGTTGTAAGCTTTATTTTGGCGCCCTGTACCTTTGCGCCCGGGGAACATATGTACCCCCCTGCCCCACCCTAGCTACGCCTTTGCTCTCTCTGAGAGATAATTACAAATATACATAAAACATAGAGCATGCGCCATCATCCAATCCTACGCAAGACAACAATAAAAAAATTATTAAAATACTAACAAACAATATATTCATACAACATAGAGAAATTTAGTTCTTATTCGTCGGAGACTCAAGCCTGTGTCTGTTAGTTATGGTACTCATTGCCTTGCCTCTAAGCACCAGCCACTATCATAGTGAAGGTACAAGAAGAGAGAATATTAACATACAGGTGGGAATTATAATTTCACGCCCGATAAGTCGTTTTTTTCAACACAGATTCCTTTAAAAGTATGATTAGATTTGCAGAAAAAAATGTGTGTGAGTGCAAGTTTTTTTCTAACTATGTGTCTGTGTGTGCGCGCGCGAGCGTGTGTGCAGGGGAGAAATCTCTAAAATTTAGAGATTATTATGGAGGTGTATGTATGTATGTATGTATGTATGTATGGATGGATGGATGGATGGATGGATGGATGGATGGATGCGCGTGTATATGTTTGTGTGTGTGTGTGTGTGTGTGCGACATCAAACAGCGTTGATTGTGAATGAAGTCATTCGTTTGACTGATATAATAGCGTTTAATTCTTGGATAGTGGTAATGTCTTGATGAATCCGATAAGATCGATTCATTTGATTCAACAATTCTGGATATAACATATATTTTATTACAAAAAGTGGGATTTAATTCAAA